ATGTCAGGCCCACCTTATCGTCGACAGTTTGGCGCATAAAACGGCATCTCCGTTTTTCATTGGTGACCTGTGTCGCATGTTCGGATCCCCTCCTTCACTTATGTGACACGTGGGTACTCCAGGCGTCGTCCTCTCGATTGCACGCTCAACAGCGCCGAATAACATTCTTCACGCTTATGCAGCGACCAGGTTTCTGACTCATACATAACGGCAGTGCAAGTCACGGAGTCAAAAAGGTGGGCATGGAGTAGCACTTTCCTGGTTCTCTTCAGTACGTCCTCGATGCGTCTGGAAGCTCTTTAAGCTCCTCGTTTTCTTCTGCGCAATTCAATATCGTTGTAGAATGGTGGTGTTTTGTAATTAAGACTGATTTTCTATAAATCTTGTCAGAAATGGCTGATATGTTTATTTATATAATCTTATATAACTGTGTTTGCTGAGCTGATGCGCGGTTGGCATAAGTTATCGTTGTCGTTGTTGTTGGTTTTGTTGGTCGTTGGCTAACTTTTCGGCGATTTCTACTTACTCAGACCCGTGATGTTACGAGTGGTGGTATTTTGATTCTGAAATTTTTATGTAGCTTGCGAAGAGTCCTTATATTAGCGAGCAGAGAAGCACTGGCTGTTGCTTCATGACTGCATCTATCTCAAGTGGATCAAAAGCTTTCTTTAAGTTCGATGAAAGCGATAAAGATAGCTCTCTTGTACTCTATCAGTATATCAAAGAATTTTGTTATCGTGCGGATGTGCTCCATCGTACTGAATTTTTTGCGAAACCCTGTTTGCTTATATGGCTATCCTTCGTCCAGTGTTCTGTGAATCCTGTTTAATATGACTCGAGTGGAAAGTTTGAATACGACAGACTAAGCAAATTGGGACATAGTTGCCGATATCGATGGAGTCACCGTTCTTGAACAACAGTACGCTCTTGTGGATTTTCCGCCGACTAGAAATCTTGGATTCGGACAGATAACGTGTGAAGAGTCGAAATAGTGTGTTTATGAGGACTGGCTTCTTCACGTGTTTGAATATTATCCTATCCAGACATGGTGTTGTTCGATTCTTGACCGACGAAATAGAAATATCGGAATTGAAAATGTAGAACCGGTATAACGGTAAATCCATCCTCCTTTATTATATATCAAAGCATGAGGACGTTTTTATTTAAGAGGTCTAAGTGGTAGTCGTGAATTCGTAATTGTTCCATTTAGGCATCTGAGTGGAATAATCTTGGTTTTGTAATTGGAGAGGCTTCAGTAGGTTTTGCGAATGCTTCTTCTAGCCTCCACAGCTTCGTGCATTACTGCTGTTCTTCTCTCTTTAAGATCTTCTTTTATCGCCTCTCTATATCGTTTTGCAAGTGCGAATGTTAGCTGGCGTTTGCCTGCAGCTCGTGCGATTCCACGCTGGCGTATCAGCACAAATCTTTCTGGAGACAGACGTCTCTCGGTGATTATGGCGGTTCTAGGACTTTGTCTTTTGAAATTAGCGGCTTTCTCTCCTTTCTGCGAGAAATAAAATATTGCACGAAGGATGCGATGGTCTGATCCCGCGTAGAACTTTGGGACAACAGCCACATCGGGTAGGCAAGACCTTCGAATTACCATGATGTCGTCCATTTCGTTATGGTACTCTCTGTTGGGAAATCTTCACGTCCACCCTTGAGAGTAGAGCTTCTGTAATTAAAAGTTGCTATAATTGGTCTTTATGTCATTACAAACACTGAAAGCCGTTCATTCTAATCCGTGGGTCCCCATGTGACGTTCCTCAGACGTTCTTCTGGTTCCAGTCTTAGAGTTAAGGTCTTTGATGATAAACTAGAATAATGTATGGTCTTCTCCGTAGGATTTCAAATCCATATAGAGTGCTTCGACTTCATCTTTTCTATAGCTCAATGTGTAGGTGCGAAAAGGGCTATTATTGTCACAGACGGTACTGGTCCAAATCTCTGTAGGCATAAGCGACCGATTCAGGATGGTGTTCGAATGAATCGATGTTTATAGCCAAACTCGTGTTGAAGAGTACGATGATTCCGTGGACTCCTCTATTGTCTCCTTTTCCGGGGGAACAGCTCTTTTCCGGTATCAAAGGCGGCGTTGAATTTGTGGCGTCTTCTCGTTTCGGCCAGTCCGATGACATCATACCTCATCTTTCTTGCCTGCATGATCAAATCTTCTATCATGAACGCAGTTGTAAGCGTGCGTGCATTCTAGGTAGAGAGTCACCTTCAACATTTGCCTTTTGGGCAGTCCAGAATGGCTGTGAGATGTTAGCAGCTTCTCGTATTTGTCCTCCTACCAAGCGCTCCCAATATACCTAGCTCTTTTCTAGTCAGAGGATGAGGCCCGTTTATTTCACTGTCTCTAGCCTTTTGATACCTATGTATTGCTTGCTGAGCTCTGAATATGGTGGCTGGGCACACTTGCGGGTTGTTGGCCAATCTCTCCTAGTGTAGACAGAGAGCTTATTTGTTATAAGCGACTCCTAAATGGCTTTCATTTATTTTTCCGTTACTCTATTGCAGATCTGTGGCCGAATTGGCTCGTAGAGCGCAATCCGCTTAAACAATGACATCCCCCATGCACTCATCCATGAATGCGTTCGTAAATAGATAATGTATCTGTCAAATCGGCGTAGCAGAAACAGGAAGTCCATCCCCTGGATTCATATGTGTCTCAAAAAACAACGCTCGCTTTTGTTCCGCGATGAACCACTATTCGTTGTAATCACATTGTTATATGACCAATTTTGTTGTCTTTTTAATGTGTATATACTTCATAGAATGAGTATCTGTACACCTGCTGAAGGACTTTTCCAAACACACGTTACCTGGGAGGACATCGAAGCGGATATGCAGAGAGAATTTCAGACTGCGGCATCGTTCGGACAGAGCAAATCAGCAAAAAACATCAGCGATTGCAATGTGAGCAAATTTGAACGTTATGGATCTAAATGTAGGTTTGGTGAGTGTGGCGCAATGCCTAGGGACGCCTTGATTGTCGATAGTTCAATCAAACGTCATTTTCCAACCACATCTCCTTTCCGATGTCGAAAAATTGGGAGGGGTCTTTCCTGGAAGAATAAAGACGCAGGATTCACCTCAGTAGATTTTCCTCAGTTATTCTATAGACCAAATGTGCAGTTTTACAGGCTTTCAAATGCTTAATGGAGTCGAATACTTTGGCACACTTCAGTGGTGAATCACTTCTTGCTTTATCCTTTCATATATATGAGTTGTTTTTAGAGTTTTCAAGCAAGAAATCTTCTTTCGAATAGCTCTCAGAAAATTACCGACCAACTGTGGTTTCCAAAACTGCGTGCTTCCTTGTTGAAACCTTACCTATCCATCCTCCAAACGCTCTGATAGGTTCGCCACACACAGGGCTTTTTAGATAAGAGCTATGCACACAAAAGTGAGCGAGAATTCGGAGTCTGTATTACTGGAAAATATCACATCTTTAGTTTCCAAATAAAAATATCCGAAGTGTAATTTATGACTGATGTGCGAAAATAAGAATAGAATTCCACCGACCGACCGTTTATTATCCTCGGCATTGATCAAATATTTTAGGTTAAGAGTTCAATTGCGCTCATGAAGCGGGAAACATTTTTTATGTTCACGTCAAACATCCATGTTAGTAGCTGAAAACGACTTATGGATAACTGGGCACACTGAAAGACGTCACCTTGCTCAATATGGATCGTCGGAGTGAATCACAAATAGTGAAGGGATAAAAACGATAAAACACTCGGCGTTAATCAATCCATTAGGGATGCGCCATGCGTTCGACTTCATTACGCATCGTTTGGAGGCAATTTAATGATTATTTGGCCTTTACAGTGACTCGCGGTGGCCTACCGATGTATCGAGCCAGTGCTTCTATCCTCTCAGACAACTCTGGTATCAATTTACCGACTCCTGTAAGATGGAAGGCTTGGTGGATCATGGGCGAAGGAAATCGATTTCCTGAGCATTGCAAGGCGCCCCCATCCACTGCACCACACGATCCCCTTATGACAATTAGTAGTGCACGATAATAGTGTATACTCACGCTTACTACTACCTGTATGAAAACACTTCCTTTGATTTTAACGAATTTCTCCTTGGTTTTTCACACATTGACCAAGTCATGTGCAATTTTTGCGAGGTTGTTTCAAAAGTCACGAATTAGAATGTGAGCATCTGATAAACAATGGAGCGACTCGTGACACTTCAACAAAGTTTCCATCCGTGTCTGTTGCGTGTCAAATCTGATCCGCAAATTCTGCTTTCTTTTTTTTTCCTTTTTTTTCCTTTTCCAAATTCCCAAGAAATCAATGATATGAGGCTGCTCATTCACTGTTTTTACTAGTGGTGCTTGTACGTGGGTAGTTCATCGACTTTTGGTGTATAGGCATGGTGCACTAATACATCGCTTCTCACTATCTTCCGGACTTTAATTGTTATTGGTGAGCTTCGCACCGAACTGGCAAACATAGTGATTTGATTCCAATCCTCTGAAGACAGCTACGTAATCTTGTTCACTCGAATTTAAGCAATATATCTGTTACCAGGAGGCTCACTGCACTTACTCACTGCACTGGTTGCGGATTCCACGATTTACTTTTGTAATTTGCCATAGTACGAACATTAGAAAATCGTATTGTAATAATAGATAGAAACATAAAAACTAACGTAATACTGTGAGCGTTCTCGGAAAAACCAGCTAATTCTAGAAGTTTCCTAATGTGCTGCACGTCTTTTGTGAACTATTTACACACCACACAGCGGATGAAAGTACCCATGGAAGCGTTGAGCAACCATTATTCGATCTGAACGGCTAAGACCAGCATACGAGCTGTGATGAAATCCAATTGTGTAATCATATGAGGACCTAATTTTTTCCTAGCACTCAACGAAATGAGTAAGAAAAACTGCTGTAGCTGAAATAATCGCACTACTTTCAGGGGTTCATGTCGATAATCGCACTCATTGATCCTGACTGGCAACATAAAGACAAGGAACTTCCGGAAAAATTAGTAATGAAGGTAATTTGCCGGTCTAATCTGTTAATTTTAATGAAATCTCTGATACTGCAACAAATCCTGCATTTTCGTCGTTAGGGAAAAAGGAATAAATGAACTCTTTATGGATTATGAAGGGAACGTTCATTTATTGCTTTATAAGTAATAGGATATAAAAGTCATCGGAAATGATAATACTTCAGTGGTTTCCGTTCTATTCATTTTTTGTTGTGTTGGTTGTTATTTTGTCAAATTTACACTTTTGTACTTTATCTGCGGACATAATTGCTACACGAGGAAATCCACAGGTTGGACTAGAGGTTTCTAGACCTGAGCAAGCGAAGCGAAAGAAAACATTGAGAGAAAAATAATACCATTTTGAAGCTAAGGCGATGAACGACTAGGCGAATATTAGGAGCGGTTAAATTACTAAAGTTAAGACTAGCTAAGTGCCTCAAACGCATCATCTTCTTAGTAAAACAACTGAAGCACGCTCCAACGAACCAAGTTCGTCGTCGTCGTGCATAGAGGATACTTAGTGGGGTGGACGCTCAAAAAGTGATAACAGCACCGCGAAGTTATTTGACACGTTGGTATAAAGTGAAGTAACATCGAATGACTCCATTGCATGCGTGCTGTTTAGTTGCGCCCATCGTATGTGGTCAAGAAATATTTTAAAAATGAAACATGTATATAATACTAAAAAATAAAAAAGACAAAGCTCTAGGCGTTGATCAATCTTTGAGGGATGCGCTATGCATTCTACTTCATTAAGCATGTTTGGAGGTGATTGAATGCATATCCGGCCTTTGCAATGATTAGCGGTGGCCTACCGATGTATCGAGCCACTTCTGCTATCGTCCCAGAGAAGTCTTGTACCAAGTTGCCGATCCCGAAGGGATAGAAGGCTTGGTGAGTCATATACGCAAGGATCGATTCCACGTGTGTGCTTTAGGGCGCCTCCGACCACTGCACCACACGCGCTCCACCTCAACAACAGTGGTTGTGTTTCACATCATACCCTGTCAAGAAGAAGTAGTAATAGGAAGTAGAAAGGCAGTTTTGGAAATGGTGAGTGTTTAAAAGAAGCCGTTCACTATGAGAATAATCATTTATGTATTAAATTCTGGCCGCTCAGGTTACGTTGGTGTTCAACTGAGTGGATTGAGCATCATTTTGACTCTTCTAGTCTTCGAAGAAGGGAAAGAAACGAAACATCAATCAGCATCGTATTGAATAAATCTTGCTACTGGCACTGTCGTCTTTGCTCATGTAGGAAACATTTACATTGGTCATTCGAAAGCCAGAAATTACAGGCTGAGAAGTCCCAGATCCACATATTGAACGCTTCTTACAAGTAAGTTCGTTGTCTAGTTTAAGGGAGAACTGCACCAAAACTTAAAAGGGAAAGGGTTAAATATTTGGAACTTTCACGGAATGATCTTGACAAGATACCCGTTGTATTAATAACCAGACACGGTGTTTTAAATTGACCTCGTTCTGACGAAGCTTTTATTTTCCTCCTACTCTTCTTTTATGCAGGATATCACTTGAAAACAATGTGATCAGATGCAACCATAAATATGATGAGATATGAGCAAAGCTGGGAAAATCGGTTGGCCTTCGAACCTCACCGTCTCTCATCTTCTGACCACGAAAGAACGTCAGGCGCAGGAGTGTTGGATAAGGAAACTATGGAGAGTTTTTTAGATTGCCAGAGCCTATTTTGTGGAGCACTGGTATAAAGACTTGAGATTCTCGACCATGCAGATTGCCTGGTGCAGAGACAACAGTTATACTCTTGCGAAGCGGATGAAAAGTTAGCCTGTCTCGTGGATCTAAAGACGACAACTCGTGTATTTTAATTGGGATTTAGTCGAGATACCATGATTTGGACAGTGGTTTGCTTCGATACAAACAAAAAAACATGTTGTTATAAAACAATAGCAGGATACCAAAAGAATGGCTTGCTACATTCTTTCGCAGGTAAACTAATAAACTTAAAATTTTCCTTTTGTCTAGGACATCTGCTTTTCCATTTGCTCGCCCATGGAAGAGTAGAACGAGATAGGATCGGTCAATATTCAACGTGAGCACAAGATCGCCAAAATTTATCATTGTTCTACTGAATTTGCAAAAGAACCGTGGGAAAAGAAAAAACTCGTTCCATGTCGAAGAACAGTGCTAATTCGATCATACGAAGTGACAAATTCCAGTTCTGAAATCAATTAGAATTCGTATTTAGTGAAATCGATAATTTTCTTTCATGTTCCATGCACTCTAGCCACAGGTTATTCTCGATGAACTAAAGGAACAACTGTGTTATAAGACGAATACAGTCACATTCTCTTGAAACAGCATGTTTTCCAACTGACTGCAATCCATGTTGCGGTCTCACATGACTGCTACACTGGCAAATTACGGCAAAATAAATGTAAAACAAAAGGATAAAAAGCAATTTAGAATGAGAAGTGGTAAAGCTTTCAGTGATGATCTCTACTTTACTGATGCCCTATAAATTTGATCACTTGCAGGGTCACGCTTTCATTTTTAAAATTTGGCAAATGTTTGGCGATCGAGGAGAATCTGCTTAGTCGTAAGCACCGCGTTAAACCGAACACCACAAATGTGTTGAACACCGCCGACAACTGCACCACACGTGTTCGTATCCCAGCACTCTCACGATGTGTGAAGCCTATAGGTGTCACGATGGTTTTGTTGGAGTGGTAAGACACATATACACCTCATTTTCTTTCCGGTGGTCTATTTTAACGCGGTGAACTATTCTCCTACCTTTTTTGTTGTCAAATGATAGCTCGTAAAACACAGATGTTGTTTTGCGCATTAGTTTGGAAGAGCTGTATTCTGCTCTTAGAATTATACAAATTTGGCTTTAATGGACTGCTATTTTAATTCTAATTATTGCAGTAAAGGACAGTTATCGCATAGAGTGCACGGTTACAAACAGTACTGATATAGAGACCTATATGCTGCAAAACACTTCCAAATGCTGAATGTAATGCGTTTGTATTATGGACTACAGTAACGTATTGGCGCGAAAAATTCGTCCAAATCCGTAATACGATGAAGTGAAGTCTTTTCTACGGTCCCTTCATATCTTCAACCCACAAAGTTCTCTAGTAATCGAAAAATCATCGCTTA